TTCCTCATACCTGCAATTATGTTCACATTCACTTGTTTAAAGAAGAATAACCAGTAGATTCCCTGGGTCAGCTGGGCTGAGGATTACTGTCATGAGGCCTTGCAGTGTAATTGGATCACTAACACAGGCAATGAGAAAAATCACATGCAATAATTTCTAGCAGGCCTTAGATCTTTATATTGTGTTTTCCACAAAATATTATCTAAACACCTTCAGGACATACTTAGCCATCCATGGACAATTACAAGGCATTTTACCCAGGGCTGATTATGGGACCTGAACAAGTGAGTGTGAGATCTGTTTGTGTTCCAGACTACATGGAATTCAGACTGTAAAGTGATCAATTTAATAAATACAGTGTATCACTGTCCTTCTGATTGACGAGAATTGCTTCCACTTTTCCTCTGATTATATTTTGCAACTAACATGAAGTGCCTGATATTTACCTTTTACAAGCTAAATTAAGTCAATTTCTTAAAATAATCCTATTTCTCTACTCCCCAGCTGCCTTGTCTTCCAAACCACCAGGAAGACATATTTCAACAAGTGGGGTGTACCAAATTTGCCTGACTTGGGTAATTCCTGGTTTGAGAACTCACAGCCATGCATTCTGAACTTCAGTCCAAGAATTCTCCAGATAAGTTCTGAGGCTTTGCAAACACAGCACTCATGAGGACACCTTAGCACCATTTAATTAGTCTCACTAAGTGAATAAATCTATAACTCCAATTCTTTACATATTAACACTTCCACCTACATACTGCCTGCTTTAGGACAAGCTAGATGCCTCTGGTGATTCTGCTCAGTACCCTTTGGGGTCCTTAATATCACCCTAACAGAAAGTGAGTAAAAAGAAACAGTAACACAGCAAATCACTGATGTAAGAAAAGAGAAGGTCCCATTAAGTTATGAGGAACAGTACTATGACACTGCACTAAGTTCACCACATCCTACATGTAAGAAGTCAAAGCAGAACTAAAAACTTAACCTACCACTAAGTGTTCCAAAAATAGTACAGAAAACAAATCAACAACAAAAAAGCCTCACAATGGGTAACTCTGCTTGTCATCCAATAT